TGTTTTAGTACATTCTGTATTATATATATATATTAGGAATAAATTTAATATATATATATATATATATTTTGATGTGGACACTACATGATTTCCTTCTACGGCCTGTTAAATTATATAAATTTTTGGCTGCATTTTATTTAAACTTATTTCCTCAAATTTCTTCAGAGATGTATTTCTCATTCAAGTAATTCAGTTTTTACTACGCGGCAAGGCAAGAAAACATAAATCTCAAACATCTTCATTAAAAATTGCAAAATGGAAAAAAAAAAAAAAAAAAAAGGTTAAAAAGAATTTTTTTTTAAATTAAAATTAGAGTTTCTACGCAAAAACAAGCAGTTCGGCCAGCAGACAGGAGGACAGATTTTCGGTACACAAAACTGAAAGTTTACTTTTTGACCCACTTGGCAAAAAGGCACTGAAGCTAGTGCACAAACTGATTTAATTCCCAATTCTATTAAGAGTTTCAAATGTAAACAAATGGTGGCATTGGTAGGCTGAACTTACACTTTCAAATTGCTGATAATTCTACATCTACTGCATGCAGATTAACTAAAGAAATAAAAATGTTATTCGGAACACAAGAACAATATAATTCAATCACTTTCAAAGCAAAAATTGCACAAGATACCAATATATAAGAATAAAAAAAACTCAGCTCACCAAGCCGGGAAACAGAGTGGGTATGCATATATATATATATAATGTTGTATGATCTTAAATTCATTAAGTGCGAAAACAAGTTACTACTACTTGCGCAATTGCTGCAAAGTTAGTTAATAATAATTTATTTCCTAAACAATATTGATTAATTGATTATATTATCTCCTAAGTTTAATTAAAGTAGAAGTATTTTAAAAGTGTGAATCCATACTGGTAAGTTATATTTTCGAAAGATGTTTTGAAGTAATTTGAAAGCAAAATGTTAATAATGTTTTAACGGGGACGGGGACTGAGTTAAATCATCATGAAGAATAAAATTTCAATTGTAAAAGGAAAAATTAAAAACATGTAATCATTGTCATTGATCGGAAATTAGTTGACTTTTCAAGGGGAACAAACCAACTCCCGTTCAATCTGAATATGCCGAATATGCATGTACATGAAGAAATATAGTAATTGGCCAAAAATTAAAAACAAAAGTTTTTTTAACCAGCCCTGCGCCATAGCTGCAGAATAGAAGTGAATTAAACTTAAAGCATCTAAAGTTAAAATTAAATTGGAATGAAAACAAGGCAATTCCTCAACAATATTAATAATTGCAAACGTGAATAAGAGGTTCCACACAGTATCTAAACATATCAAAATTAAAATAAGAATTCACCAGTAGAACAAACTCGGAAAATAAAAATGGGAAAAAGAAACAAGATAAAAAGATAAAAATTAATCTCCTTTTACTGAAACTCTAATTCAGAACTCATCAAGGAAAATTAATTAAAGTTTCATAAAAGTCGATTAATATGTTTCGAGTACATGTTTCGTTCTTCTGGTTCATCAAAAACCGAAAAAAAGATTCAAATTAAATTTTTATTTAAGACATTAAAATTCATTTAAAATCGAATCTCAAATGTATCCAGAATTTTCCCTAACAGATATCATTTATAAAATTAATTGATAATTTATTGTTTAATATAGTCATGCTTTTAAAAAGTGTGCTCTTAAAATTGTTTTTTCTTTAAACGCACATTTAAGCTTTTGCTTTAATTAAAAAAATTTAATATTAAGTCAAATTTCTGTTTTTGTTAGGTCAAGGCCTCTTCCCTTTTTTCTTCTTATTCTTTAATGGATACAGTAAAATCGAAAATCTTCAAGATTTAGATTAGAGAAAATTCAGGATTCGTTTCACCTCCACTATTTACCAAAAAGTTGACTAACTCAAAACATTCCTACACTCACTTGCCTAAATATCTGAAGAGAATCATTGAACAGAAACGTATGAAGTTCGGTAAACGGTAACTAATATTTAACGTTAAGATAATTTAATTAATTTTTTTATTTAAATTTATTTTGAGTAGGAAACACAGTCACCTGCACCTTAGAAGAAGAGGAAGAAGCACATTTTACAAATTTTGAGAGAAAACTACATTAATTTCGTATAAGAATTTGAATCTTGCTTCAGATAAGTATGTACGGATAAGTATGTAATTAGGATAAATATATTATTCGGATCAGTATATTATTCGGATAAGTTATATTATCAGATAAATGTATAAGCTTCGGATAAGTATACACATTAATTTCGGGTAAGTATTTGAATCATATTGGAATAAGTATATACCGTTAAATGTATAATTCGGATAAGTATATACATTAATTCCGTATAAGTATTTGAATTATGTTTTGGATAAGCATTATTCGGGCAAGTATGTATGGATAAGTACGTGTACGGTTAAGTATATAATTCAGATAAGTACAATTAAAGACATAAAGTAAGAAATTTAGAACTAATATTTCACAAAGACCAGAAATTGAAATTCATAATAAATAAATTTGAAATAATCATATAAATGCAACAAGGAATTTTAAAAATGTTAAAATCAAAACATTTCAAACAAGCAAAGTCCCACTTCAAGTTTTTTTTTTTTTAATTTAATGAAAAATTATAATTAAAATACATTGAAATAATTCATCGGTTAATTCTGGATACAGAAAAGCAAGGATTTTTGTAGAAGAGAGATTTCAATTAATTTAAAATCAATTTCAATTAATTTAAAAGTTCCTACCCCCCTGATGAAGTGACATTGAGGTTGATTGAATTCTTCTTCTGTTTTTGTTCATTTTTCATTAAATTTCAAAAAATTTTTGAAGTGACATTGTTTGATGCTTGTTTGAAATGTTTTGGTTTTAACATTTTTAAAATTCTTTGTTGCATTTATATGATTATTTGAAATTTATTAATTATGAATTTCAGTTTCTGATCTTTGTGAAATATTAGTCCTAAATTTCTCATTTTATATCTTTAATGATAATTTTTCTACAGCTTAATGCGCGAAAATACTAGACAAGTTTGTGTATTGTTTTCAAAACTATTGTTTTGTAATTATGGAATTCCGAAAAGTATATATTCGGATAAGTATATAAGTTTAAGTATATGTATTAATTTCGGATAAGTATTTGAATCCTGCTTGTAGAATTAAAAAAACTTTCTCTAAGGGTTAATTCTTCTCTTATAATTATGGAGCATGTAGCTACGTCTTAAAATATTGGATATGTGATGGAAATATTTTTATTTGAATACTGTTAGCTTACTAATATTTAAGAATCGACTTGTCTTAAAAATCTATCTATGGAAGAGCAGCTCTGAGCGTCTACTGGTGAATTTCGTTATTTTGATCTGACTGGTAAAAAAATTTCAAAAAAAAAAACACTTTGGAAATTAGTTTTTTTCCTATCAATGTAGAAATGTATCAATGTAGAAATGTGTTTTCTTCAATGGCACATCGCTTTTATCTATTACATAGAGCAATTTTATAAATAAATATGCATCTTTATTTGATAGATGTGGGCCTACATAAAGCTGGAATAACAATAAATAATAAATTTTAGCTTATAATTTACACATTAACATACTCCTTTCATTGTCAAATTTATAAAAAAAAGTGCTTCGGAAAAATTAATATAAAATGGACGAATAAAAATTTATATATAAAAAACACAGTTATCATTATTTTAAATGTTACCCCTTTTATTTAATTGATTTAATCTCTGAAAACCATATTACGATCATAGTAACTAAATAAAATAACCCGAAAGTGATATTCGATTTCTTGAATTTGAGAATTCCTTGAAACTAATTCCTGATAATATTAATGACATAAACAAAATGATTGTTTATGTTGTTGGCAGGAAGTAATAAGCAAAATTCAATGTTGTATGATAAATTTCTTATTTAAAGACTGATTCAAAAAATGTTAAATGTTGATTTTATCCAAAATTTGCTCACAGAATTGTATAAATAATTAGTTGGATACGTAGATTTATAAAAATGGCGTAGAAATGAATTATTTGTTTAGTTGAGTAGATAAAAGCAAGTTTTAGAATAATTATGAATTATGTCAGTATGCCAGTGCAGCAATGAAAACTGTTTTCACATTCCGGCACGCATATCTGTTGCGCACCAGTGAGGATTCGATTAGCCTTTAAAATCATAATCAATGCTATAATATCGATTCATTTCACGCTTACTGTACAGCGCTCAAGCGCTACTAAATGGAATCAAAACTTGTTGCCACCTGTCGCGCGATGCAATGAGATTAAAAACCAACCACTCTGAGATTTCCAGTAGCAACGGGCACCCCCGAGTTTTCTGTGAGTAATTCTGGTCGGCACGCACCACTTTAAGACCCTCGGGGTATATTTTAAGCACCCCACCTCTCTCTCTCCAACTTCAACCCAGTCTTCGAATCTGCCCACCGATGATCTCTACGATTTCTTCTTCTTTATATTTCCTTACAGGTTGTATTATTATTATTATTTTACAGTTTCTGCCCTCCACTCTCTTCCCCCCCTCCATCTTCCGAAAGTGCGAAGAGCAGCGAAGCGTCTCAAGCTGCTGTCCGTCCAGCCGTCTTCTCCTCTTGATTCTTGATGGAAGCAACTTTTTAAAAACTCCCCATTCAAGGTGAAGTCAAGAGAATGAGAGAGTGTTGTGAGTCTGCCTGTCCCGGCCGGTACATTCCTCTTCTCTTTCTCTCTCTCTCTCTCCACGTAAACCTTAATTGCTTGCCGGAATTGTTGTCAACGGGGACCTTGGGTTCGTTTCATTTCATTGTCGACCGCGCCAGGGGAAGCTGCTGATCCGATTGATCTCCTCCCTACACCTCCCGCTCTCTGCATCTAGTCAGTTAGTTGCTTCATCTTGCATACGATTTAGTTAAATTTCCTTTTCTTATCACGTGCTCCCCTACTGCCAAATCTGGACGAAACATATTGTACTGGAATTGTTTACTTGTGCTTTATTTTGTTTGTGTAACCAATTAAGAAAAAATTCGCTTTTCTTTCAGTGCAACATTTTCGAAGGTGTGCTAGAACTGGATTCTGCATTCAAGGAAAGAATTGTGCTCAAGAGGAATTTCAAGTCTGAATTTCACTTCATCCTGGAAGTTTATTTATTATTTTTTGAAGTCTTACCTCTTCACCGTGGAGCAGATCTTCAATGTATTAAAAACGAATTTAAATTCGAGGAAGAAGGCTGGCTGAACAGTACTTCCTCGAAATCAATACATTTGAGAACTAAAGAGTGAAATAATTTATCACAGTTTGCTCTTGTGATAGTTGATCTCAAGACATTTGTATTTTAGCCATCACTCTGCATATGTACTTGCGAAAGTGTTCAAAGAAGTATTTCATAAGCGACAATCAACAACTAAGTATTGTAGTCGCATAAACTGTGAAAAAGGCCATCCAAATTGTAATTGTACATCTGTCATCAAGAATTCATTAAAAGCAAGTTGCGGTTTTTATTTGCAGTCGCAACTGAAACGAAGATACTACTAGGCTGTAAACGATTCATCCTTTTTCTATTTATTGATATTTAATTATCAGCTTAACTTTTTACTCTAACATCAGAGGACATCGTAGATTCCATCAGATTAACAGCTTCGAACAGTTTCGTACGTGATTGTGCACAAATGAAGTCAGACGTTCTATAATTTCAGTGTTTCTTCTCGGCAATGCAGAGTGTGGTTAGTGCTTCCTATCTATTCAGTGGTCACTCCGTCGCGCGTTGATGGACTTAAGCGTTCCCAAGCGGCCCAGCACACCCCCGCCGCCGGCTCCCCTGCGGCCACCCTCGCTCTATCCGTCGTCGCCCGTGTCGCCGCACGGCACCGTGCCACTGCCCGGCATGGTGCACTTCCCAACGCCCGGCGGAGGGGCTTCCTCGTCCCCGCAGAGACCGTCGGATCTGGTCCCGCCATCAGCCGTCGGAGGGTCGATTCTCACTTCCTCATCGTCTGCAGCGGGTGTTTCAGTTGAAAATCCGGCTTTCAGCACAGGATTGCTAACGGGTAAGTGATGCATGTTATTTATAATTCTTTGCACTTAATAATTATTCGCTTCACTTGTAATACATGTTGCTGTTCACATATTTCATTTAACATTTCGCAAGAAATGTTAACGTGAGAGTCGTACTGTCTTGAATATGTAATGAACTCATATGTAAGATGACGCGCTACTTTTAAGATGTTTTACAAAAACATGACGTGACATGATAGCTATATATGTATATATATATGAGTTTAATATATCGATGGTCTGTATACGGAAAATATTGCGAATGCATTTTCTTTCGACATATAAGGAGATAAATTATCTTTTTTTTTTTTTTTTTTTTTTTTTTTTTTTTTTTTTTTCTTTTTTTGGCGGGAGGACTATAGACTCACTTGTAAGATAAGGGCAGGTTTTGGAAGGACATTTTGAGATTTTAAGCGAAAAAACATCATTTGATAATGCGTTAATATGGTACATAATTCACTGAGAATTGACCCACATTCTTAAACAGTATCGTAAATTTTAGGTAAAGAAATATAAACAGCAACGTTTAGCTTATTCTTTACTTTATATATTTATTTATTAGCCCAAAGGGCGTTAGCTTAGAACGTTTATTAATTTCGTTTTAGCATTTTGCGTTGGTTAACTAGAAACGGCGTTTCACTTTTCAAATTGTTGAAACCAAATATTAGAGTCCTGCATTATATTTACAGAAATTAAATAATGAAGAATCTGCATGAATGTAGGTATGTTTGTCGCATTGTGAAAAAACAACGGTACATAGAGACATCAAATTTTGAATAACGTAGTCCTCCATTCGAATATGGACATCTGGAAGCCCAAATTTGGGATTTGTTTTATTATCTATTTTAAATTTTGTAAAACTTTTAAAGAATTTTTGATTAACAAACCAAGCGATTTCAAAGCGAGCAAGGGCAAAACTAAACAAACAAACAACAACCAAAAAAAAAAAAAAAAAAAAAAAAAAAAAAAAAAAAAAAAAAAAAAAAAAAAAAAAAAAAGAAAAAAAAAAAAAAAAATTATCTCCAGCGCGCAAAACTGTGCATCTTAAATTTTAAAGATCTGTTCTTTTTAAATTATTTTGTGATATTGCCGTTGAATCGAATTTTATGGTTTAAGCGCGATGAGTATAATATTTAATAAATAAAGGTAACACACAAAACGTTAAAAAATGCCCCTTAAAAATCGTAATATAAAATCGAAAAGCTTTCAGATTTTTTATAATAAGGTAATTTGATTTATATAGAAAACTGGCGTTCATATTTATAAATTATGAAATTAAAAGATTTTTCTCCTTCCTATACATATAAGCAATTCAACACAAATCTATAACTAAGGATTTGATCTTTAAAATGTCGCTATTTGACTTATATATATGCATAACAGATTTTAATTATCATATAAAAAATAATCCTGTTCTTAAGAAACGAGTTTAAATGTAATGCAGTGAAAATATGTATGCCATAAATATGTATATTATATATATACAAAGATTTTTTTTTTTTTTTTTTCTTCTTGAATGCCATTTCGTCTGGCTATTAACTTTATTTCACAACAAATTATGTTGATAATAGACTGTTTAAAAATGTCAGTATAAACCCTTTATCCTTCAAAAATGTGAATAAGACATATTCAAAATGATACTTCTAAAAATCCTTATTTTTAGTAAATTAGTAATGCAATGATTCTTTAAATATTTTGAATTAATTTGAAAAGTATAAAATTTTGACTCCATTTTTGGAATATTCGAAAGAATGCTTGTGTTTCATATTTCATGTATGTTTTATAAAATGCAAGTAATTTGAAAATTGAAAAGAAGATGTGCAAATTATTGTTAATTAAACTGTCCTGACGTTAATCAATAACTTGAAAAAGAAAATCATGAATGCATAAATGTTTAGAGAATTAAAATAGTATGCTTGTGAAATATGAAATTAATGCACTTCTTCTGTTAAAAGAATCAAATAATAATCACGCTGTCAATGTAAATGATGCTATATTAATAGCGTAAGTGACCTTAACATATGACTGCAAAATCGTAAATATTTATTATATAAGAAAAAGTTATATTTCTTAATTTTTCTGGCAGAATATTAATGTTTAATGTCGACAATTTTATTAACGTAAAATGAGCGAAAAAAAGTTATTTTATTAAAAAAATATTTTATTTATTTATTCATTCATGTTGATATGCAGACGCATCTCTAAAATAACTTAAACTGCATTGTTATAACTGTCAGGAAGAAACGCTAATTTAATGAAATAAAACTTCCTTTCTTTTCTTCTGCAAGAGAGAATTAATAAGAGTAATTTATGTACTGTATATAGTTTTTCACACAGTGAAATAGTTATTCAATTACGTCCAAGGGAAGGTATAGTTTTATATATATGTAAACGAAGAACAATAAAACTGAGCTGTCAGATTCAACAAAGTATGATATGAAGCGATATATTAATAACAGATGAATGCGATACAATGATGCGATAATAAAATACGTAAGTTCAGATCTAGGGTATGTTAATTATTATATAAAATTTTGATGCTGCTTTAGAAAGATCACCAATTTAAATAATATGAAAACCTCATCTGATTTAATAATAAAACAGTAATAATAAAGTAATTAAATTTTATTTCATTTCATAATACAATTCCATTATATCATAAAGTTTTTATGTTTTTTTTTTTTATTCATTAAAAAAATTTAATACTTTTAAGTCAATTAAAAAAGTTTCTACTTTCTCAGATTGTGCTTACACTTGACCATTAAGAAGAATTATCATTAAAAACTTAAATAAATAAAAAATATATTACTCTAAAATTGAGATTTATGAAGGGTTTTAAAAAGCATTTTCCTCATAAACTGTAGTTTTTATTTAGTTTAATAACTTCAGTTATAAAGCATAAAATGATTTATATTTCGTAAAAGGATAAAAAATTTTATATATTTAAATGTCGTTAAAATTTAATCATATTAAAATATAACTGTAAATACGTTGAAAAGTTTTATGCGCTTAAGCACGTTTATTAATTATAGCATAAACATAGTAAAATTTGAATTTAAAGAACTTTAAAGAAGAGAGTTACAATTATAGCATGGAAAAGGAAGAAAAGGATATTATAACTTTGCTGTATTAAAAATTATCATTTAAGTATTAATGCTTCAAAAAGCAATTAAATATATAATCCTTGAAAAAATTTTCTTTGACTTATTTTGAAGCTGTTAAATTTTGCACTCATTTAGATAATTTTAAAAATCAGATTATGAATTTTATTTACAAGCAAATGTAACAAGGAAAAAATTTATTTACAAATGCAAATCTATAAAACGATTCAGGATTTTATTAAAATATATGAATTAGACATTACAATTCATAATTATCAAACATACGGAAATTTAAATTACTTGCAGCAAAATTAGCGATTAATTAAAACCTTGGAATTGAAAGAAAAGTTTGTTTGAATATGTACATTAGGTCAGTAACATAAAATTTAAATAAGTTTACATTAGGTCAATAATATAAAATTTAGACTGACCTTTATTCTATATGTTTAGTCAGGTCCAAACTTAAAGCTACAATGAATTAATTCCAATTAAAATATTGAATGCTTTGTGCATTCAAATTTTGAATGTTTTTAAGAGTTTTGCAGAAAATTATGGATTTTTCTGGTCTGACTTCTCAGGGATTTTATACGCATGAAGGCTTTATTTTAGGCTCCAAAATTTCAGTTCAGTCGCTGCTGCATGAAACAATATTTTACATTTTAAACTGGCATTCATGCAATTAAAAAGTATTTAAGTTTAGGATTTCTCAGTAAGATCACATTTTTAATGTTTTGTGTTGAATAAATTTCAAAATATAGTAGTATTTCATATATGATTTCCTGTTAAGCATGTAAATGTCAAATAAACTACCAGATATCAAACACAAATTTTGGTAGCATAGTAGTTGTGTTCCAATCCACAAATAGCAGACTCTAAGTTAGATTTCTAGTAAAAAAGACATACCCGCAATTTTCCCTTCATAGCAATTCTTTGATAAAATGTTTCAGTTTCATTTTATTAAATATATTTATATTTATTTGTCATTTTATGTCGCAAAGAATAAAGGTTAAGCTATACCATTTAAAAATATTACACCTATTATGCTTTTATTGGCTATAATAAAATAAATCATTAATACAGAAATATTTAAAGAGAATCTTACGAAGTCTTTTATTGCTATAGAGTAAAATTAAACACCCAACGATGTAATGAAAGGCTGACTGTAATTAAAATGCAATAAATAATAACTTAAGAGATTTTAATCCAATAAACATAGCAGAGGAACAATTATCCTCATCTTGACTCCCCGACCAAAGTTTCGTACTATCTAAATTAAATTGGAAAATTAAAAATGATCAGATGCGTTGAAGTTATCTGGTGTATTATCCTTTATCATTTTACTTTTTTTGTAAGACACAATAGTCATGCCTAAACTAATTATAACATTACATTTTTTTAAAATTTTTGAACATATTAATTGTTGAATGAAACACTATTATAAATTAATCAAATTCTTCTTGAATTTCACGTAGCCTCACATAAAACTTTTTTCTGATTCCCTGCAGGCAGTTTTCATATCTAAATGCATCCCCCATACACATCATTCAAAAATAGGAACTTGACAAGATTTCTGTCTGCTTAATTCAGATATGTTAAGGATATTTTACCATCCCACAGAAATACGGGTTTACTGAGTAAAAGTCGTCTAAAGAATAAGACTAGGATCATATGAAACTTGTCCATCCGTTCCTGGTTTAGCAGAATTCGAGAAATCAGGAAATTTTTCGAGGTTCCAGTGGTAATCTTGTCACTTGATATGTGTAATTTAAAAAGAGATGAAATATTAATCGTAACTGCAGAATTCCTGCAACAAAAAGCAATAAACTCATTTGAAAAAAAAAAAAAAGTGTTCTAATAATAAAAAAAAAATTAAAGATAAATAAATAAATTTG